GAGGCACTCTGGCGGGACCACTCAAGCCAGAACGTTCGCAAATTGATTTTAATTTTTTTTCTTTATTAATTCAAGTAACGGTACGAACAAGTCGTGTGTCTGGTGGTAAGCTACACACCTAAATCGGAAATATATGCCCTGAGACATAAGTTGACAAGTCCCATGTGCCTGTAATTTTGTAATTTCACCAGCACCAATACCTTTCAAAACCGGAATGCAGTAATGCTCAGATTACTGCTTGGCAGCAAACATAGGTAAGGTGGCAGTACTTCCCAGGGCGAACTCTTTCAAAAGCTACAAAACTTTTAATAATATACATATTTAATTTATAAAGCTTTAGTGGAAAATGAGAAGTTTCTTAAATTGATCCTACCGTGAATAAGGCCCGAATATTCGTATCTAGCGCTTACAGTGTAACTACTGGGTTATAATAAAATTAAATTACAAAATTACTATTGTACAGTGCTTCTCTTTTCTGTTTAATGTTCCTCGGCAAATTTCGTATTTCAGCTGTCGTCGGGTTTTATTCAGCTGCCCTTTGCCTTTGATACAGACCGGACACTTTCAAACGACTAGGAAGTATATAGAGAAGTTGCTACTACGGTTTTTATTTATATCTATGTCAGATGAAGAAATGTGTTCAGATACGGACTAAATTGAAATGTTTAATAGCCGGAAAAATATTCATTTTTAGTTATATGAAGACACACACTTTATTTTTATATTTTTGTTAAATTGCTTATTGACATGGAGTAAATGTTATTAAAAATAGGGAAATAGTTTTACAGCTCTATATAATAGTTCACAACGAAATCAAAACAACAACAAAGTACGTTATTCCAAACTTAAATTATTATACATTTTAAATCTAATAATTAATGGGCATGGAAATTAATATGTGCATTTGGAAATCCGATGATTGCTGAGGCACATTGACAAAATAGAAGCACTGTATTAAGTGTGCCGCTTCCAAGAAATGAAACAATTTTTATGTCACACCCTGTTTTGCTCGTGCGACTGAGCAAAAAGCAGCTCAAACCTTGTTTTTTGTAGCATCAAGAAAGTAAGCGACAGCTATAACTGATAAGCATAAATACAAATGCTAATTTCATCGTTTCACTACCATGGTAAATCATGATTTTGATCGCGTCCACCGTCCCTTTTCTCTTTCAGTTTACATCAGTTTCTGTTACTTGCCACTACTCTTTGATTCCAAACTTCCTTACATACTTAATGAAGTTTAGAAATAGAGACAGAGAACGTAATGTGAAGCTACAAGTACTTTGCTACTAAATAAAACTAATTTCTGGTAAAGTGATTCATTTACCATGATCTGCTACAATGCTGGGTCTGAGGAGCCAAGGTTTGAAATAGGTAGGTTAATGAATGTAATTCTCTTAAATGTTGTTTGTGTAATGAACGAAGGATGGACGAAGTGCATTGAACTTAAAATTAGTTTATAATAGTCCAACAGCTGGGTCTCCTCTCAGGTGAGGGTTTAGGCCATAGTCCACCACACTAGCTCAATACGGGTTGAGGATTTCACAGGGTTGTGAACCTTCTTCGACGTGCAAAGTCAAATCACATTTATTCCATACGTAAAATTTTTACACTTGAAAACGTCATTTTTTAAGTTACTGTTTCTTTCACAGTGCCGACTTCCCTGAGAAGAACGAGCGGGAAATTCTAGAGATTGCTCTTTTCAAATAAACTTAAATGCTATTCATTCATTCTGAATAATAAGAATTCATTTTGAATCATATTTGTGTGGATATCTAGATTCATGTTGTCTTTCCATACATCTGTATCTAACACGTAGTCTGATGCAGTTTTCATTACGATGTTTCCCTTCATCGAAAAGCTCATGGTAAATTTCATATTAAATTTCGCAGATAAATTCCGAAAAATTCAGAGGTGCGAGACCGGACTCGAGCCCATAGCATCTGTTTGAGAGGCAATAGGTCAAATCATAAGGCTACCACGGCTATTAGAAAAAATTACTGATTATAATCAATTCTTCTAGTGGATACTTAAGTCGAGAATAAAATGGGTTTTATGAACGAGTTATAAACTCTGCTTTTCACTTCGATTGCGAGGAAATTAAACAGCAATTACACAAATAAACGATTATTTAATTATAATTAAATGTAAAATTACAACAATTAGACATATTTAATCTGATGTTTTTTTTATTTTATGCGCTAGAGTATAAAATCCTATTTTATACACTAGAGTATAAAATCCTATTTTATGCAGCCTACACTAAGTATAAATACGAACTTTAAAAGCATTAGAAGTGAAAAGCAATTTAAGAATGGGTGTGAAGTTCCAATTCGCATTGGAACCGCGTGGGAACTAGAACCCAAGACCTCTAATTGTGAGAGAAAGCCAGTGTCCAGCAGTGGGACTAAAATGTGTTTATTCATTAGTAAGTATAAGTTTATTTAGGTATATTCATATATACTTATATACATTTGTACCTACAGTATACCTACTATATCTTTATTTATTATTTGATAAAATATAATGTTCATTACTGTTTGTCTATTCAATTCAAATTTTGCTATAGGCACACTACGTATCCCCCTCTGATTAGTTTTCCCATATCTCAAAGGTTGTCTGGAAGAGATCGCTCTTAGCGATAAAGCCGCCTTTGCCCACATTAGTTTTAAGCTGTGTATGTACTGTTTTTGTTCCTGTGTGTGAGCAATAAATTGTATATCTATATATCTATCTATCCATCTATCTATCCATCTATATATCCATCTATCTATCTATCTAAACTTTGGCTAACTATTATTATCATTAATATGTATATCCATTTTAGACTCTCCTCTCCCATAGTTTAAAAGATTAATTTTGAATTTTTAAATGGGAGAGTCGTCTCCGGCAATGGCTCAGTCAGCCCGGGGTCAGGGACTCAGGTTCAAGAACCGGCGAGTATACGTGCAGGTTCGCTTTCTGCATTTGTGGTGGACGCGACATACCACAGAAATCCAACCAACTCAAGTTGTTCTTGTTATTGTTATTAAAGTTAGTTGACTGTTTCCTGTATGCATCTTAAAATTAGAATAATCTTAAAACAAAGCCTCTTTATGAAAAGGGAATTTGTCAACCAAAGTAATTGGCGAACACGGCAGTATTCCTATCTAATTCCTTACGGGACACTCTAGTTCCAATATACTGCAATGACTCCTTCGTCTGGTGTTAACTACACCCATATGCTGACTTATACACTTATACCCATGTAGTTGTAGGTAGTCGAATGGTTGTGATGTAACCGATAGTACATTACACATGCGAGCTTGCGTTGCGCCTTGGTAAAACAAATTTCCTGTTACAGACAAACATCCGGCGTCTCTAATCTTTTTTTATTTTTATTTTCCCTATTGGTCTGTATAGTCTGAACTTTCGTCAGTTGGCTCGCATGAGAGTGTATAACAAGTCAGTGTCTCTTCAGTGTTAACTACTTGCTGATGTATTTGTGGATATTTGAGCTCAACCACTGCTCATTGCATGATAGAGCTTTAGTCAAGTTCCTTATTAAATTCACTTCTGAACTTTCTCTGATAGTAAATATAACTCATAGTTTCCCAAAGTGGTCCCTACCCTACCCCTACTGGGCACTGAAGAGTTCTAGGGAGGCGACAGGGCCTCGGAAGCATTTGGGGGGCGTTGACGTTGTCCAGGTGATGCTGCCGCATTTGAAAAATTCTTGAATTGTCTATATAAACTACAATATGTATGTAACATATATTGATAATGTTGTAAGTAGGGCCTCGCGTATGTTGGGATTCGTACTGCGAAACATTAAAAGTTTTCGAAGCTGTAAACCCAAAATTATGTTATATAATAGCTTAGTACGCAGTATCTTGGAGTACTGCAGTGTTGTTTGGAGACCACACTACGCAACACACTCCTTACGTTTAGAACGCATTCAAAAAAGATTTGTTTGGCACTTAATGTACTCATGTGGAATCTCCAAGAAAAAACTCTCCTCGTACCAGCGTCGTTTATCACATTTCAATGTGATGTCTTTGGAGAAACGTAGAACTCTTTTGGATATGTCATTTGTGTCAAAAATATTTCGTCATGAAGTGGATTGCTCTCATTTGCTTCAAAAATTCAAATTGCGTGTTCCCTTTAGATATCCGCGTAACAAAATTAGTCCATTAAGTGTCCCACCTCGTAAAACTGTATTTGGCTCAAACTCACCCGTCGCAAGGTTGAGTAGAACGGTGAATGGTTTCAGTGATAGCATTGACATTCACCACGATTCACCTCTCAAGATTCGGAAGAAAATTTCTCACTTACTCGACTGTACCAAATAAGTGACCTTCAGTATATTGTGCTCCATATTGTGATCTTTATTGTTAACTTTATTTAGACACTGTTAGTTTTTAGTTTTTATTAGACATTGTTAGCTTTTAGTCAGTGCATGTTGTGTTTACCTTTAAGTGTTTGTGGCAATTAGATTATAAAATAATATATGTATATCGAATATAAGTAATATTGTACGCAACGTTGGTGAACCTAATAAATAAAATAAAATAAAATAAAATAAAAAAACATATAGTTAATATAAAAAATACGTATTTCAAATTATTTTTTGTGTTGGTGTGCGTTGGAATTTTTTTATCTGGCGTAAGTGGGCGGTGAGCCAAAAAATTTGGAAACCTATTGAAGATTTTGTAGATAAAGTTCGTTTTTATTTCACGTCTTCTTGCTATCTTAATCTTAAAATGCGACATGATGTTAGTATTAGTCTATTTTGAAACATTTAATTGAATTTCAAAATTAATATGTTTGCTAAAAGGCTAGCATTTATAGAGTAGTTCAGCCATTACTCTTAGCACCAGTTTGTTGAATTTTATCAATGGTTTCTTAGTATTTTATTGTGTCTAGTGGTGGACGTAGTATCACGGGTACAACTTCGTCAGTGGGCCCGCGCGGGAGTATCTAGCAAGCTGGAGCGGGCTGTTCTAGCCGGGCAGGGCCGCCGGCTGCTTGCCGAAGCTGAGGCCTTGCCGCTATCTACCCACATACCAGCGCTCATTTCGAAGTGCGACGCTCTGCATGCCGCCGTGGAGAGAGGGTCGCTACTCGAGCTCCAGGTATTACTGGTAATTCATTATTTTCTTTATGAAGGTAATTTAGCTGAATAGATAATTAACATGGTCTTGTGTAATTATGTACATTCTAATAATAATAATAAAGTTCTTTTTACTCTAGCTAAGAACAGTTAACACGTTGAGTTTTAGTAAATATAATTTTGTGGCTGACCAATGCCTAAACTACGCATAAAAATTATTGTACTTCAGACCACCAGGTTCCCTCTCAGAAATAAGTTAGCATCCACGAATATTAATGTTAAGTTGATATCATTATGAAATGAGATTTTTTATGAGACTAAGTGACGGGACAAACAAGTCGCCCACCTGGTGATAAGTGACACGCCTGTCCATAACAGCTACAGTACCACTAAGTGCTTTAAACAACAAAGATCTGAGGGGCACTGCCACTGCGCCTGAGACATAAGTTGACAAGTCTCATGTGCCTGTAATTTCACCAGCACCCTTACCCTTCATAACCGGAACGCAGTAATGCGCACATTAATATATTAATAAATATAATAAAAATTGTAAGGTTCACGTTCTTATGAAATTTAGTTTCTTGAGTCCAGCAAAATAATGCCACTGTAATTATCCTAACTATTGTATTCAACAAGTCAGCGATGTCGAGATCGCAAACTCTATAAATAAACATCATCTAGCAAAAATAATATTTACGAGACATTAGATCAATGTATACTACTATTACAAGTTCATATTGAAATTAAAAATAATATAAAAACTGTCTTAAGCGTTACAGCAACTCAATTTCGTCTAAATTAACGTCGTTGTAAGTTATCATGCTACGGTAATGTGGAGAAAAATAGTCCACATAAGATACAGGAACCGAAAATATCTTTTGAGCTGTGTACCGTGGAAACTTTCTCGGTACCGCCAAATCAATCTGAAACATTGTCTGGGGCGTGTTGAGCTGCCTACGTCAAATGTTGTAAAGTTCCTTAGCCTGTCTCCCACTTACCAATTTCTCTAACTTAAAATGTAGTAGACGTGTTTGATATAACTCAAAGTGAAATTAAAATTTCGACGGAGTGATGTGTAACTAAGAACAATCTTTTCGTATTCCGAAATTATATACGTATTGTACTTGTATCTGTGTTTCACTATTTTCAACATTCTCATGGTTAAAAATGATGTATTTTAAAATTAACAGGACACCCTGGATTCAGAATCTCCGAACAATCGTCGGAAGTTTGCGATGTGCCGGGACGAAGCGGGCGTGGGACTTCTTCACAAAGCGATCTACTACGATTTCATGGATATCGCGGAGTGGCTCGTCAAGCACTTCCCACAATTAGTGCTTCAGAGAGACTCCGTAAATATAAACCATTTTCCTCATGTCATTTTAATGTACAGCCGGCGCCCTCACTTATGTATCCATATTTGTATAGCACTTAGTACAAATAGTGGATACCTAAATGAGGGCACCTACCTACTCATTCGCAAAGGATACTTTGTTAAGAAGAATAAGCAAGAACTTCAAGAAGTACCATGACAAGTCTATCCAAATCCATCAATCATAGACCTGCTACAACGTATCGCAGTAGGTCTACGATACGTCGTAGCGGGTCTACGATTGATTGATTTGATATAACAATATACATTAAAGTACTATATTTTTTGTCAATTATTTTATTCACGCATCTGCTCAAAAAATGGGATCAGATGAGAAGTCACAGTATTCAACAAATTCTAGATACGAATTTACATACAAATTGGTCGTTGAACTGTGTCCAGTTCGATTCAAATTCATCGTCATATATTAATGGTGACATTTAGGGCATGTTTATATCTAGACTAGACCTAATGGACATCGATCAATACACTGTGTAATGGTAGCGACCACTAAGTGCTGGGTTAGAAATAAAATGTATTTGGCAACAATTTGTAAAACAACGTTTCTTATATAGTACACTACAGTATATACTTTCGTTATACTGTAGTGTACTTTATGACAACGACAATGGCAATGAGTTGTTGCGTTCTATGGCATTAAAAATTTCCAATTACCGATACTTATATGAGAATTATACCATAGTTTGCACCATGGTGGTCGCCGACAGCCGGTCAGAGTTAGCACCACAAGAAGTGTGTACTTCTCTTCTCATGTCTTCATTGTACGTTCTTCAACAGGAAGGTCGTACAGCTCTTCACTACGCATCACTATGTCGGGACGAGGCAGCCGCGGCGGCGTTGCTCGAGGGCGCAGGGGCGGCACGGGGCGCGCGGGACGCGTCGGGTCGCGCGCCCAACCACTACCGCGGCGCCGCCCGCACTCTGCTCACACTACCCACCGTGCCCGACATGCCGCCACCGCAGGATAAAGGTAACGGTAAGTACCAACTTAACTATAAAATTTTCAAAAACTATTTTTTTTATGTAATATGTATAGCGACCAATCAAAAGTGCAATCACTTTATTACACTTTCCATTACAATCCGCGGTGAAAGTTTAACCCCCACCAACATTCAGGCACTAACAAAATTTGTAAAAAGGATTACGAAAGTATAATGTTTTTTCGGAGACGTACATTTCGAATACGAAATAAGAAACATAATATTTAATTTGATTAGTATGAGATACCGAAAAGGTTAAGTATAATAATATATAAGGCCAAAAGATATAAGAACACGCAGATTGAGTTATAAAAAGGAAAGTTCCAAAGTAGTAACATTTTATTGCCGTCGTAAACGTTTCTGACAATTTAAAAAAGTTGTAAGTTATATTGTTGATTGAAGATTATATTGAGTGTTTTATTTTAACGATTGTTTTAAACAAACGTTAAGAGTATGGATAAACTTCTTAAAATACTCTAAAGTTAGAAGTGATTTGAGCACAGCGGTGATAATTATGTACAATTCGTATAATTACATGAGTTTTAACATGATTAACTTCGAATGTAAAGATCTTTAGGATAAATTTGTTTCAGTTCATATCCTTATAATTTGATAGTTGGAAACTAAAATTCGCTTTCAGAACTTCGCTTTTAAATTTTGGCGTTTTCAATTTCTGGCGCAAAAGATGAGGATTTAATTCTTATATATTATATTATATTTCGAAGTTTGAAACCCTCATATACCAACGTCATCGTATTAGCACTGATCTCAACCAACCTCGGTAGCCCAACGGTTTATGCTGTGGGCGCTGGATAAGGAGGCCCCGGGTTGGATTCCCGGTAGGAACAAATTGGGACTCCCGTTCTTCGTCCGACATCCGCCCGAAAGTCTGTTCAAAGACAATATGAATACCATCAACAATACTTTTTTAATTTAAGTTTTATTAATATCAGAACTCACATTGGCATGCGTCAAAAGAGACTTGCAGAATGTATATTGCCAATTATACGCAGAAAGAACTATTTCAAAGTAAAAGTATTTTGACGAAATTTCGATGCACACATATTCGATACGACACTTCTTCGACAGAACGCTACTTCGAGAATGTGGCATGGAATTTGTCGAAGTAGACTTCTAGTAAAAGTCCACATAACAATTTTCTTATATTATGGACTTATAATAATAATATATAATTCTACCTTAGGCCTTTTCAAGCGGAGAGTGCACAGGCATTATTAAGCTTCATCGTCGACCTCGCCTCCATCTCACCTGATCAATGTATATTTCTCCTATCTCCCAATGATGATGTCCTAACATAGTCGCGTTTTCCAATCACTTCAGCGTTTTTCACTTTCATTCCTGTACTTTTGACTCGCTTTCTTGAGGACTTCTAAATCTATTTTTTTATAGTGACAGAACAAGTCTTGTACCTGGTGGTAAGCGACACGCCTATCCATAACAGTTGTCATGCCATTGAGTGGCATGACAACTGTTATGGATAGGCGTGTCAAGTGGCTTTAAATCGCAAAGATCTTAGGGGCACTGCCACTGCGCCCGTCATCCATAGACACAAGTTGACAAGTCCCATGTGCCTGCAATTTCACCAGCACCATTACCCTTCCAAACCGGAACGCGGTAATTAATGCTCACTATACTAATTAGCGGCAGAAATAGGTAAGGTGGTAGTACGTTCCTGGACGAACTCTTTCACAAAGCTCTACTGCTACTAAGTAATTGCAACAGTATACACCGAGGTCCAACTTTCTATGCGTTTCCGTTCACTTTAACTTTATAAATTTGTACCTAACTAGTAACTTATAATACGTAAGTATATTACATATATTATAATAATATATATAATACGCTACATATCTGTCTATACAAAGAGTCACATTTTAATTAAGCCTTCTTTAACAAAGTAAATGTCGCGTGTGCGTATTAACTTTTGAAAGTTTTAAAAACTTACAGTCATTTTTTTTTTTCTACCTGAAAATGTTACATTCCAGACTTTTTTAATTAAGCATATTGTTATGATAACAAATTACCTCTATATTATTGTTTACTTTAACCGCAACGTCGTTAAATTAAACTAGCTACATAATTGAAACTCTTGTTTGTAATTAATTAAAAAGTTTCATAAAATAGTCATACTTTTCAGTGACTACAATAATTAATTATATACATAGCACCACGACTATACTCCAATTGGGTAGACCGATATTACTTACTTCCACTTTCTACGTTCTTGACATAAACCCTTTCCTCCACTCACAGAAGTCTTTTCACTTATTCCAATTTATGAATTATTTAATATACACAAATAACATAATATAGATAAACTTGTTTGATTATAAAACTTGTTATGGCACTCATTCTTGATTATCCGTCATGAATCTCGAAAAAAAAGAAACTACACTAATAAACAAAAACATTTTTTAAAATACTTTTCCAATGAACATTAATCAAAAAACCACATGCATAAATTCAATAATCCAAAGCATTGATTGATATCGCCCGTGTAAATTACTTTAATGGAGAAGTAGTTTACTGCAATCGAAAACAAAATTTACTTTTTAAAAAAGCTATTGCCACATTTCCCTATTCATCCATTAGTAGAATCATTATTCAAACGTTATCTGTTGAGAAGATTAAATCGATAATTTCATTAATTTTAGAAAGCCGTTAACTTCATTACCGTGGCAAAGGCTTGGCGACCAAGCCCCCGCAGGATTGCGTGGTCATGAATATTTATTTTTACGGAACCGCACTACTGGCGTCCACCTCACCCACTACTTTCATTTCAGCTCAAATGTAATAGGCCATTTTTCTAATCTATGGCCGTAGTTCATGCTATTTTCGGACTTTAATAAAAGCCTTTGAAGGTCAAAGTCTTAACTCAATGTTACAGTAGTTGTTTTGCCCGTTTGTATATGTACACAATCATACAATTAAATAATTGTAACTTTCTTATTTTAAAAAAACCGACCTGAAAAGTTCGTGGAATTACATCTATTTGCCAAGTTTTAATGAAATCGGTTGCTGGAAAGTGCACGAAACCGGATTCATCCCCTGGTTTGCCACTCTTAGAGATGGAATCCTTTAAATTTAAATGGGACCAATACTGAGGTACCCTCTTTCCAACAAAAAAGAATCATCAAAATCGATTCACAAAAGTTCAAATGTTATCGCGTAACAAACATACAAAAAAGATGCAGTCGAATTGAGAACCTCCTCTTTTTTTGTAATCGGTTAAAAATTTAAGAAGTAAGAATATAGGTGCTTATGCACGATAAAGTTTCGCTAGCTCTAATCGTCGTACGGGACTTACTTCAAAATTCGTTATGTTTAATTTCTTTTTTTTTAAATCAAGGTTGATTAATGGTCGATGACATCCGTGGTCGAGTGGCTTGCACAACGGTTTTCATAGTATCGCCATCTCTGAGGTTCGATCTTCGGCCGGGTCAATGTAGAAAACTAAATTTTCTATATTGCCTCGGGCCTGGGCGTTTGTGGTACCGTCGTTGTTGCCGATTTCCATAACTTCTGTTATTCAGTCACCACTTCTGTGCTTAGTTCCCTAATGTGGGATTAGTGCACCTTATGTGTAACTGCCTCCGTGGCCGAACAGTTACCATGCTGGACAGCCACGCAGAGGTCGCAGGTTCGACTCACGGACCAGGAGAAATATTTGCATGGCCTATATTTATCTCTCGAGAGTTTGATTGTAATTTGTGATTGTGTGATGTGTGTACACGGATCAAAAAACAATGTGATCACGATCTTCATAATAATCTTACTTCTATTATGTTATTTCTGTGTTAAATAAGTATCGAAAAGTAGACGGGTAAAAAATTAAAAGTAAGTATTAATGTGGAAACTGAATTGAAAATCGTTGAACAATAAATCCATACATTCAATAGCCAAGAGCTACAAAGAAACGGATGTGTGTTGTTTATGACGCCATAGCCTTAATGTCACCATACACGTTCTAAACTATTATACTCCGTCCAACCATTTATTTAACTTTTGACATATGCATGCCTCCGAAGTTCCGTAATTATTGACATACAA